ACTAATCTAATAAAGCAAGTAAACGTGCATCCTAATAAATATAATATAAAAATAAACTAATGCAAGCAACTATATGATATGAAATAAAGCGATAAAAACTCAAGATATATGACACCTATCACCCCCAAACTTATTCTTTGGAAAAAAAATTAGTTTAAGAAAAATAAATGGTATATCCCAAGTAACTAACCGATAAGTCGAGCGAGCTCCACCGTAAGCAATTCTTGCACCCTTGAACACGATCATCTCCTCCATGCTCCGCTTGAACACTCGATCACCACCACTTTTTTTAATTTTTTTTCTCACTTTTTTTTTTCCAGATTTTTTAAAATAAAAAAAAACTAAAATAAAATAAAATAAATAAAAAACGAAAATAAAAATGATAAACGATGGGTTGCCTCCCAACAAGCGCTTAATTTAACGTCTTTAGCTAGACGCCATCTGGGCTCTCAATAAGGGTCATTCCCGTTCATACCAACCACCTCCTTCATCTTCCCATGGCGTCGGCTACCGTCTTTTGGCTCTTGAATTTTCCAACCGCGGGCAAGTGTATAAGTCCGCCATTCGTCATATGCTTGAAACGTGATCTCACCAAGCTCCATGTCAATAAGTACCCGTCCGGTGGCTAGGAATGACCTTTTTAAAATCAACGGCATATCACCGTTATCCTTCATATCTACCACCACGAAATTTGCCAGAAACTTAATTCCATCGACCGTCAACCAAACATCCTCTACAATTCTCGTAGGACGAACTTGTGATTTATCCGCCATCTGAAGAGTGATCGTAGTCGGTTGAAGCTTATCCAATCTCAACTTCTGGAAAATTGAGAGTGGCATCAAATTGACACCCGCCCCTAAGTCGCATAGCCCTTTCCCGATATATATTTCTCCAACTGCACAATCGATATAAAATCCACCGGGATCATCGCACTTAACGGGACGGTCTCTATGTTGTAGTGCACTACTCTCCTCCGTGAGTGTAACCACCTCATGAGCCTCAACCGGGCTCTCCATCTCCTCGTCTGAATAGGCTACAACCGTCTCTAACTCATGCTCATGCACTATCTTCACCTCGGTCAGAACGTCATCTCTCGTCTCTTGGGCATCCTCGACTTTGCAATCCTCTAGGGTGATCTCCGTATGACTCAAAAATTGGCCCTCTTGTTGTTGACTCTCGACCATCGCGATCATTTGCCCAATGTGCTGCTCCATTGACTTCTGGTGAGTCCCTATCGACTTCTTTTGATTCTCTAATGTAGAGAACCTAGCCCGAGACTCGCCCATGAATTGTTGCACTTGAGTCATAAATGTTTGAGTGGTAGTTGCTAATGAAGCGAGCGCCTCTTCAAGTGTCGGCTTTTTGGCCTCATTGATGACCCCATTAGTCACCGAAAATTCCATTGACGGTTGTAGAGCGTTGTATGGATTCAAGTACGAGAAATTAGGATAATTCTTATTGCACGAATAATACGTGTTACCTCCTTGATATCCTCTGAAATTGTCGTAATTCCGGTCATGCAAATAATTCACGTTCTGGACGGGTTCATACATTGACACCGCATTCACCCCAAAATTCTCGTTCTTCACCATAGAGTCGACCTGCTTCGCCATTGAGGCTATTTGTGCCCTCAACGCAATCATCGAGGCCGATTTGGTGGTCGCCGCCACTCCATTAAACATCGTCTGCTCCACCGGCCATTGGTAGCTATAAAACGCCATCTCGCAAAAAAAAAAAGAAATATAAGAAAAGAGAAAAATAAAAATAAAATAACAAAAAAGAAAACAAAATAAAAAAATGTCTAAACTAATATCTATTCACTTTCTTCTAATATCAATTAATTCAACAAACAATCCCCGACAACGGTG